TATTGTTTAGATCAGTGTATTTTTATACATGCTAGTATTAGCAGTGCTTGTAATTGCGTTTCCATGGTTACACTTACAGAAAGTTTCAGTTCTAGATGCCATTCCAGAACGGACATTATCATGTTCCTGCCCTTGTTACCAACTCCCTCAACTTGGCTTAATCAGGGGTACCATCCCTGAGCCCACGCGCTGTTTTGCTCGCAACAGTCCAAGGACAGGAAAATATGACCACTGTCTTTGAGCCAATCCTCCACAGCAAACAGTATAAAGAAGCTGCTAAGCTGTGTAGGGGATGGGGTCAGAAAAGCCAAGGCCCAGCTTGAACTAAACTTTGCAGGAGATGCCAAAAAGAGTAAGAAGGGCTTCTACAGGTACCTCAGCCAGAAAAGGAAGGTCCAGTAGGTCATGCTTACGTTAGTGAGTAACACAGGCAGACTGGTAATGGCAGAGAAGGAGAAAGCTGATGTACTTTGCAACTTTTTTTGCCTTAGTCTTCTCCGATAAGTGCTCACTGCATAGCCCTCAAACATTTGGTTCTGTAGGAGGGGACTGGGGAAACAAGATCCCTCCCACTGTAAGGGAAAATCAGGTTTGTGACCACCTGAGGAACCTGAACATCCACAACTGTGTGAGTTACGATGAGGTGTATCCCAGAGTCCTGAGGGAACCTGGCTGATGTAGTTGCCAAGCTGCTCTCAATGATATTTGGCCAGATGTGGCAATCAGGTGAAGTCCCTGGTGACTAGAAAAAAGGTAACATCATACCTGTCAGCGGTTTACAGGCTGGTTCAGCCCGGTTCTGTGACCAGCAGGGCGGAGGGATCTGCAGATCCACACCTCCAGGAAAGGGGAAACAGGGGACTCCAAAATACTTGAAAACAACAGCAATAATCTGAGGTGGAACAAATCATTTACTAAATACAGTATTAGCAAAAAAATACAATGAGAGAGAGAGAGAGTCTGTCTGAATGGTAGATAGACTTCACCACAGTGCTGAGGTGAGAAGTGCAGTCCAGTGGAGTGACTGAAGAAAAGCAGGCAGCAAAGCAAGTCAGGTGACCTTGCACAAAGTTACATCTCCTTGCTGACCGCAAAGCCTCCTGGGGAAATGTAGTTCTTCTCCATCGGACGAACATTTGGCATGAGTAAACCCCCCCCCCCCCCCCAGTGCATTACATGATGTTATGGTGTGGAATACTGATAGCCAAAAATCATAAAACCATGACAATAGCCATCATTAAAAAGGGTGGAAAATATTACTCCAGGAACTATCCAGACCTGTCAGTCTCACATTTGTGTCAGGGAAAATTATGGAACAGATCATTTTGGAAACTATGCTAAGGCATGTGGAAGGCAGGGAAATGATACATGAGAACCAGCATGGCCTCACTAAGAGCTGTTTGACCAACCTACTGGCCTTCTATGATGGTGTTGCTGCATTAGTGGACAAGGGAACAGTCCTTGTCTACTAATGCAGTGATGCACTAATGCACTGATGTCATCTATCTCAATTTCAGTAAGGTCTTTGACACTGTACCCTACAACATCCTTCTCTCCAAATAGGAGCAATATGGATTTGATGGGTGGTCTGTTCAATGGATGAACAACTGGTTGCAGGATTGAGTATTGAGTCCAGAGAATGGTGATCAATGGCTCAATGTCTGGGTGGAGATCAGTGATGAGTGTGTCCCCCAAGGACACCTTGATGCTGGGGCCAATACACTCTAATATATTCATCAGTGACATGTGCAGTGGGGTCAGGTGCAGCCTGAGCAAATTTGCTGATGACCCCAAGCTGTGGGATGCAGTTGAAACACTAGAGGAATTGGATGTCATCCAGAGGGACCTAGACAGGCTTGAGCAGTCCAGGCCCAGGTCAATCTCATGAGGTTCAACAAATCTAAGCGTAAAGTCTTGCACCAGGTTTAAGGCAACCCCAATTATCAATACAAGCTGGGAGATGAAAGGATTGAGTGCAGCCTTGTAGAAAAAGACTTGGGAGTACTGGTGGATGAAAGCTAACCATGAGTCAGCAGTGTGCCCTTGCAGCCCAGAAAGCCAACTGTATCCTGGCTACATCAAAAGAAGCATGGCCAACAGGCCAGAGGAGATGATCTTGCCTCTCTGCTATGTGCTGGTTAGAAATCAGCTGTAGTTCTGCATCCAAATGCGAAGTTCTCGGTGTGGGAGGGACATAGAGTTGTTGAAACATGTGAAGAGCCGCAAAAATGGGCCATGGAATGGAACACTTCTATGAGAATAGACTGAGAAAGCTGCAATGTGCAAGGTGGTAGCAGCCTTTCAGTGCTGAGCGAGGAGCTACAGAAAGAAAGGGACAGACTCTTGAGCAGTATCTGTAGTGATAGAACAAGGGGAAATGGTTTCAAATTCAAGGACTGTAGGTTTAGGTTAGATTTTTTTAAGGAAAAAATATTTTACAATGAGGTGGTGAGGCATTGGAACAGGTTGCCCAGTGGTGATGTTGGTGCCTTTCCCTGGAGATTTTCACAGTGAGGGTGTATTAGGCCCTGGGCAACCTGATCCCACTGTGGTGTCTGTGTCTACTGCAGGGGAGTTGGACTAGATGACCCTCAGAAGTCCCTTCCAACTCTAAGGATTCTGTGATGGTTCATCCTAACCTAAGTGTTAACCAGGTGCCTCCTAAACACCAACACAAGGAGTCAACAACCTTAGGAAGCCCGTTCCAGTGTTTCACCACACTTACACAGAAAAATAGTTTTTAAAACCCCAAGTTTTTCCTGATTTCTAGTCTGAACCTGGTAGAACTTTATGCCATACCGCATCCTGCCATCAATGACAAGTAGAAGAGATGATTGCTTCCCTCTAGGCTTCCCTTCCTTACAAAGGACAAGGAGGATGCCTCTGAACCTCCCCTTTCCAGATTGGGTAACCCAAGTGTCCTCAGAATCTCCCTGTAGGATGTGCCTTCCAGGCCTTTTATCAACCCTCCTCTGGAAACTTACAAGTACTTTATCATCCTTGTTATTTTATAGAGTTCAGAACTGCACGCACAGTATTCAAGGTGAGGCTGCACCAATGCTGACTGTAGTGGGAAACTCACTTCTTTTGACTAATGGCTGTGCTGTGTTTAATGTATCCCAAAATGTGGTTTGTCCTTTGGCTGCCTGGGCACACTCCTGGCTCATGGTGAGCCCGCCTGTCACCAGCACCCACAGGTCCCTTTCTGCTGAGCTGCTCTTCCTACCACTCATTTCAGTCTGTCTTTGGCATAATCCCATCCTAGGTGCAGAACTCAGCATTTTCCTACATTGAACTTCATTTTGTTACTGATTGATCAGTGTTCCCATCTACTTAGATCCCTTTTCAGAGCCTCTTGTTATTCCAGGAAGTCAATACTGCCTGCCAGTATAGTATTGTCAGGCAATTTTTCATAAGGCTGTCTTCAACTTTTCTTTTTGGATAACTGATAGGGGTGTTGAAAATAGCTCCAAAGTTGTGCATGGGGGAAACGATGCTAGCAACTGTTTGTCAGCCACTTGTAGCCCCATTGACAGCAAGCCTTACAGGCAATTCATCACATTTTGTCCAAAAGGATACTGTGGAAAACAGTGTTGAAGGCCTAGTCTAAGATAAAGTCGAGGAAAACTGCATCTACCACCTTGCTTTCACCTACTAACTGGGTTATCTTATTGTTTGTTTAACTCAGCAGATAGCTAAGCACCCTCTCAGCTGTTTGCTCAGTCTTGTGGGATGGTTGAATGAACCAGGGCAGTGGTGGGGAAGTAGGGCTCATCGGTTGAAATAAAACTGTTTACTAGGAAAAGAGAAATAACAGCAATGATAATATGTGCAGAAGTAATACATATACACGTAATGTTTATGTGTATTTGCAGAACAAATGATGCAAAGTATAGCTGCTCACCACCTGCCCAGCCATTCTAAGCAGCAGCTGCCCCTCCTTGCAAAAGCCTCCACAGTTTTATAGTTTTTCCACATGATGCCATATGGTATGGAATATACTTTTGGCCTGCTAAGGTCAGTTATCCTGGTTCTGACCCCTCCAATCTTTCTGTGCCCTGTCAACCCCCTCACTGATATGTGTATATAATCAACGAATATATAGATGTTATAATTATGAAAAAAACAAGAGAGTTTTGCTAAGCAGTTATTTTAGCAAAAAAGAGAATAAATAAGAGTGCTTACCCTTGTCCTAGGCTCACTGTAAAACTCCAAAGGACAAATCTCCAGAAAGAAATCCTTTTCTACTGTTGTCATCTCTTAAATGGGTCTAGGAGAGGTAGAGCCAGGCTCCACCCCTTCCTGCAGCACAGGTGAATTGCCTTCACCTCTGCTCCCAGGGCTGAGTCATTGCTTGCCTCAGGTGATCAATTAGAGGTTCAGGCCGTGATTCAGCAGTTCCCTTGTACATGTGACAGTATGTGAAGATGAAATGTCCTTGGCTCTGTGTAGCATTACTCAGTAACAAAAAATTGTAAAATATCTGTGTGTTATCAGTATTGTTTTACTTCTGAAGCCAGAGCACAGCATTATACTATGCTCTGTCGTAGTTTAAACTAGGACAGTCATCAAATTAGCGAGACAGGCTTTTCCTTTCAAGAACCCGTGTCTGGTGATTGCTGTATCCTTTAAGTGCAGTTTTTTTCAGGCAGTGAATTTATAGTAACAGGCCAGTAATTTCAAGGCTTTTTGCTGTGCCCTTCTTCTAAATTGGAATAATGTTGCCTTTTTGACCAACAGTTCTTCAAATTTCTAGGTAATAAAAAGGTTTCTTTAATTTAACTTCTAAATGGAACTTCTAGAAGTCCTTAGTTATCTCCTTGATTATCTAGATGAATGTGATGACTAAATACTTTAGGAATCAGATGAATTTAGGTATAGAAAATCACCAAGAACTTCTGCAGGTCTTTACAAACCAGTGACTCATTCAGCCATGAATGCTTATTTCAAGTTAAGTTTCAAATCAAACAATTTAGTGCTTTGCCTATTCTGTTTTTCAGAGTGTGTCTTCTGCTTTTGAAGAAGAACAAATTCATGATTGAATAGTGGATTAAGTAGCAGTTTCTCTTTGAAGAGTGAGATCTCCTGAAAGCTGGGAAGAACTGGATTTTCACCCTAGTCCAGCAGCTTTGCTGCTCACTTAAACACAGATGAATGAAGACCCCATTTGGAAAATCACCAGGTCAGCGATCCAGAGCTGATGCGGGTAAGCCTCCTTTTCAGTTTTATGGATTTTGTTTGCTTGTTTGCTTTCAGTAGGTAAAAAATATTCTTGCTTTTATAAATAGTTTTTATGTCTCAGTGTCTTTATATAGGCGTTACTACTTGTGTCTTAAAAGAGTGTTTACCCATGTTACAGAAGCTGACAAAAAGACTCAAGCAGATTTAATTTAACAATACAGACGTGCATATAAGAAGTTTATAATGTAAAAAATATTAATGGAGCTGTAAATTAAACACCTCCTTAAAAGGAGGAAAAAAATGAGTTTGTTGTAGACCTTCACTGATGTTTTCACAGGAGACATTTTCTTCTGTTTATCCCTTGTATGGGAACTGCTGAGTCACGGCCTGAACCTCTGATTGATCACCTGAGGTGAGCCATGAGTCAGCCAGAGGAGCACAGGTGAAGGCAATTCACCTGTGCTACCGGAAGGGGTGGAGCCAGGCTCCACCCCTCCTGGACCTATTTAAGAGCTGGCTACCAGAGGGGAAGGATCTCTTCTGGAGATCCTCCTCTTTGATATCTTCTAGTGAGCTCAACCCAAGGGTAAGCTCTTCTACTTATTCTCTTTTGTGATCCTTGTTTGCCTTACTCTTTTGATTATATTGCAATTATAACATCTTGGTTATACAGCTTTGCCTTACTCTTTTGATTATATTGCAATTATAACATCTTGGTTATACAATCCCTGAAGTGCTGAAACAAATAGAAAGAAATGTATACCCCTTGTATTTATAGTTTGATGTAACTTCATCAGAAATTGTAGAAGAGCCTCTGTTAAGCACTACAAAAAAGTCTGTCTATAGACTGCTGCTACTGTCTTATCTAAACTGAAAATTAGTCATAAGTATTTTATAATCACGTAAGTGCAAAATGTAAGTAAGCATGCTTTATGACAATTTGGGCTTATTTGAAGTTTTGCAGTTTGATAGACTGCAATCAATTGCAGTCTAGCGTACTCTGAAGTGAGGATTATCAGCAATGATGCAGTAAAAGCATGAAGTGGTGAAGAGTTGTTCTGTGTTTTTCTATGTTGCCCTTTAGAAACAAAACCAGTTCAGTCTTTTTTTTTTTTTTTTTTTTTTTTTAATTTTTAATTAATAAAAAAATTTTTATAAATTTAACCTTTTTTTTTTTTTTTTTTTCCGTGAAATTACTTAATGTTTTCAGAGAGAAGTAGAATTGCCATTTTTATTGTGTAGTGAAATTAAACTCATGACTGGCCAGCACAGTAAAAAACTTTGTAGATGCATGATGTAGGACATTACCTAAAATCAACCATTCTGAATCACTGCTTTTCTGAAATGTCAATAAATCAAATGAATACAATTGGGTAAAATTGGGAAAGGGAGTCATCTTTAAAAATACCCATTTTGCTGCTTTCAAGTACTTGCCGAATTCATTCAGAACTGAAGCACCCAATGAAGGAAAATTCCTTTGAAACCTTTTGGTAACTTATTGTTTTTACATGTCACTAGCTTCCACTAATGTTAATTTGCTGTCTATCATTTGAAACATATACTAATTTCAAATGTGACTTCTGCAACTAGTTTTAATAAATCGTCTCAAAGGAATGTTGCTTTTCATAGGAATGATCAATTGCAAAGGCAGTATATATTGTATATATATATATGTTTGTGTATATAAAGTACTCCTTATTTGCATCAGCATTTTAAGTTTAAAGACATACTGTCATCCAAAATCCAGGAAGAAAACTCTCCAACTCCAGCGCAGTGTTAGAAAGTGGCATTCCTTTATTTCTTATGATATGCAAGCACAACTTCTCAAGCTCTGCATTTGAACAGTTGAGACATACATATGCAGTACACTGGCATACATATTCATTCTTTTTCAAGGACTCATAATATGCTAATGTCCCTTAGAGTATGCTCAGTGGTATCTCAAGTGGTCGAATGGTCACCCACTTCTTCCCATTTTTCACTTCATCACTAAATCTTTGACTTACTTTCTTCCACTTTTCCCCACTTCGGAAGATTTCCATTGCTTATTAGGCCATGATGAGCCACTTTTTAAAAGCAATACATGTGGAGCCTGAGGAAAATGTCCTTGCATGTTTTGAGACAGATGATATCAAGTATACTATTGTGACTCCATTGCTTTGTGCAAGGCAAAATCATTGAGGCAAAAGATGAAATTATTCTATTATTTTCTTACTGCAGAGTTATTGAGGAAAACAAGACTATTCATCATGAAATCTGAAATGGAAAATTTTAGAACTATCACTTATGGATTCCTTTCACTAATACATTGGTTCTTAAATCAGTGTACTAATTCCTATTGCTAACCAAACCAACCTATATTGGTAGCAATATGACAGTATAGATGTAATCAAAATCGCATTCATTTACAAATGAGAAACTGTACTTACAACAAAACTTGTCAGGCTTTTTGCAGTTTTGAGTAGGAAATAAGAATCATGTTTCTTGCCACTGAAGATTTCTCTGTCTTACTTTACAATAGTTTTATGTAGTTTAATTTTTTCCTTTGATCTTGGGAAGAAAGTGAAATGCACAGAACTTTGTATGTAAAAAAAACAGAAGGATTTTAGTAGTTTGAATTAATTTTTTAAATTCCTCTAGGGAAAAGAAAACTAGAACAGCATTTCAAAATGTAATTTGTTCTAATGGATTTTACCACTTCAAAGGAGTAATGTTTGTAACCCTTCAAAGACTCTCTCATTTTAGTTTCTTGAAAAAGTTTTATCTTGACAAGGGTGTGATGGTATTTTTTTAGTAAGGGATGGGCAACACAGTGTCACAGAGTTATCCCTAGATCTGTGTCCATGATGGCACAAGCCTGGAAGGAGACAAAAGAGAGAGGGAAAAAAAAGTATTAACTTTTTGGGGTGGGACGAGGCCCTGTGACTAATGAGGCGAGGCATCTGAGGGCTGTGCAGTCTGGGAGAGGAGGAGAGGGGGGAGGGTAGGAACATTGCAGATAAGTCTAAAAAAAAAAGCAACAGCAACAATCTGAGGAGGAACAGTAATTTACTAAGTCCAACAAAATCAAAGGAAATGAGAGAGAAAAGAGTGTCCAAATGCGAGGTCTTATGCTAGTAGACTGCAGGGGAAGCACGTGCTTTTCTTCCCAGCAAGCTGAGTGAGCAAGAGGTGGCTGGTGTACTGCCAGGAGCTCCACCTTCCTTCCTCTGTGTGAGAAGTCTTCCAGGAATGCCGCGCTGCTCCTCCTTTCCCTTGCGAGAACCAAAAATGCCCCCAAAAAGGCAATCCACAGAATAAGAACAATTAACTCTGTAACTCTCACTGTTTTACATGATGTTATGATGTGATATACCAACAACAAAAATAGAAAGAACACAACATACAGGCATTTGTTGGTGCATCACCAATCTTGTGTGTGACAGGGGTTGTTCAGTGTATATTTTCCTATTTTTATTAATGGTGCTTGTTTCACATAATCACAGAATGGTCCAGGTTGGAAGGGACCTCAAGGATCATGAGTCTGCAGCCTTCCTTGCCACAGGCAAGGCCATCAACCTCCCCATTTAACACTAGACCAGGCTACCCCAGCTCCATCCAGTCTGGCCTTTAATGTCTCCAGAGACGGAGCATCCACAACCTTTCTGGGAAGACTCACCACTCTCTGTAAAGAACTTCCTCCTGACATCCAACCTAAATCTTCCCTCCCTCGACTTAAAACCATTTCCCTTGTCCTGCTGATACCCACCCTTTCAAAGAGTTGGCTCCCCTCCTGTTTGTTGACTCCCTTTAGGTACTAAAAGGCTGCAATGAGGTCAACCCGCAGCCTTATTTTCTCCAGGCTAAACAAGCCCAGCTCCCTCAGTCTGTCTTCGCAGGGGGGTTTCTCCAATCCTCTGATCATCTTATCTTTGTGGCCCTCCTCTGGACCCTCTCCAACAGCTCTCTGTCTTTCTTGTACTAGGGGCTCCAGACCTGGACACAATACTCCAGATGGGGCCTCACAAGAGGAGAGTAGAGAGGACAATCACCTCCCTGTCTCTGCTGGCCACCCCTCTTCTGATGGAGCCCAGGATACCATTTGCTTTCTGAGCTGCACACTGCTGGCTCATGTTTTGTTTTTCATCCATCAGAACCCCCATGTCCTTCTCTGCAGGACCTCTCTCAAGGACTGCTCCTTCCAGTCTGTACGGATGCCTAGGATTCCTCTGGCCCAGGTGCAAAATCTTGCACTTTGCTGTGTTGAACTTCATCAGGTTCACCCGGGCCCACCTTTCAATCCTGTTGAGATCCTTCTGAATGGCCACCACATTCCTTCCACCATATCAACTGCACCACTCAGCTTGGTGTCATCAGAAAGGTTGCTGAGGGTGCACTCAATTCCGTCATCGATGTCATTGATAAAGATGCTAAAGAGTACCGGTCCCAAGACAGATGCCCTGGGGAATGCTGGTCTTCATCTGGACATAGAACCATTGATGACCTCCCTGTGTCTGCAGCCTTTCAACCGATTTCTCATCCATCGAGTGTCCACCCATGAAATCCATGTCCCTCCAATTTGGAGATAAGAATGTGGTGGGGACCGTGTCGAAGGACTTGCTCAAGTCCAGGTAAATGACATCAGTCTCCTTTCCATCATAGAAGGCCACTAGATTGGTTAAGCATGGCCTTCCCCTGGTAAAGCCGTGCTGGCTGTCTCAGATCATACGCTCATTCCTCATGTGATCAAGCATGTCATCCAGGAGGATCTGTTCCATAATCTTCCCAGGCTCAGAGGTGAGACTGACCAGCCTGTAGTTCTCTGGGTCCTCCTTGCTCCCTTTCTTGTTAATGGGAGTGATGTGACCCTTCCTCCTGTCATCCAGGGCCTTACCTGACAGCCACGACCTTCCAAATATGATGGAGAGCATCTTGGCAATCACCTCAGCCAGCTCCTTCAGATCCCTGGGATGCACGCCATCTGGCCCCATAGATTTGTACACATTCAGACTCATGAGGCAGTCTCGGAAGTTGCTCTGCCCTTAC